ACTGGCGTGGGCAGTGATGGATGGGAAGCTTCCAAGCCAGAAGTTGCCTCCACCACCTTCTGATCTTCCAAAGTGCTAGACTTTGACTTCGTCGAAGTATTGATTTGTGAGTCTTTTGTTTCGTTGTAAGTTATGAGTGAAGAGATTAATCCCCAATTCAATGTCTTGTTTTGAAATGCAATGTACAATAAGAGATTGTTTTGTGAAATACAAAAATACGTGATGGAACTTTTTGTCTTCTTTTTGAAAGTAGTGTACATCCATTAAAGTTAGTTATATGTTGTATACCTTTCAAATTAATCTGTATAGCAACTCCGAACAAACGATCCTCGTGAACTTACTCGAATAGCAATTCCAAACAAACGATCCTCGTGATTTTGACCGGAAAGTTTCATCATATATCGTCTTGTTGGCACCTTAGTGAAGTCTTATTCCAAGCTTTAACAACTTGGTGAACTTCTCAATATACTCGAGTAAATATTCTAGATATTACAAAATCCATACACATCCAAACAGACAATGTTATTAACTTGAAAGAACTTACATTTTTCATCAAGAGGTGAAGAACCCGTACACAAATCAAAAATCAAAGAAGAAAACACTACCTTCTTTTTAAATCTATTGCTCTATGTGCGTGAGCCGTGAACTTGATGGGAATTTGGAATCGATGTTGTAGCTGGAAATCGGAGAAGAGAAACTGATGTTGAAGCCGATCTGCAATTCTAGTTTCTCAAGTATGAACTAGCACAAAGTATTTGAGAGAAGCCGCTAAAAAGAGTATAAAGCATACAATAGATGCGCTTTGGACTAGTTTTGTATCGGGTTGGGTTGGCCAGGTTATTTCAGCACCCCTAATTTATACGTTTGATTCGGTATATGATATATTGTAAATTCACAATATGCTTGCTTTTTTCGTTAAGATATCCGTGAATCCATAAATATTTGAATAGACAACATAACTTTGTGAAAACCAGATTCATGATTGACATAAAACTGACGTATTCCATACTTCTAAATCAAGATTTTGACATATGGGAGATTGATCAGATCATTCTAACTTGTATTAAAGATTAAGACAAGCTTACTGACATTTTATGAGTCTTTGTTGTCGAGCTTGTGGTCAAATCCTCTTGGTCTAGCTCTTGATGTCATCGTGGCCATGCTCTTTCTGCAACTAATCTGATACAACTATATGGATACTTTAATTAACAAACAGAAACAAACCCAAATCAGTAACAGTTAATAGGTATATTTTGACTTTTGGAATCAAACCCGGCATATCTAGGCTTTTTGCCTTTTGGTACTAAAATTGAACTTCAAACTTTGTGTAAGAAGGGTTCTTTTAACCGTCCCCGCCCACACCTCAAAAGCTTCATGCAAGCGGCAAATCAGATAAACATCGGCTTGTTAGATGGCTGGCATAAGAACCTAGTGTCTATAAAGAGCCTAATCCCAAAGTATTTGTGACTTTCACGCTACAACTACCAGACTTGAACCTTTGCCAATTTGTGGAATGTACCATCTTGGAACCAACTGTGTTACACTCTAGGGCATTGAACTTAACACTTTAAACACCCATGTTTCTATTTGCAATTTGTTGCAATATTTGATGCATTAATCAAATATCTTCTAAAAGATTTGGTGTAGCGAAATCAACTTTGAAATTGAAGATAGTTCATTTGACCTTAAAGTGGAAACTGCATATTTCTGAAACCCTCATTTCTACACCATTAATCTAGTGAGGCTTTAGAATCGTGTTCAAGGAGCAAAGGGATGTCATGAACGATGGGAGATGACATAGAATTTCCTTTTCATTGGGTATGCGGATTGGTGGCTTGGATTCCTGTTAAAAAGATATAAAAATTGAGTCGATATCATTCAGCCAAATAATTGCTAGAAAACGAGTCTCCTCATAGCTAGTGCTTACTTGACATGCTATTGTTGCTCTGCACAGGATCTTTAACTCTTTTCTAAAGAACTTATGGATTTGCATGATTTAGAGCTGGATCGCTGTGCTAGCCTTAGGTCCGACTGTTATGTTGAGATGGTCCAATCGAGTTCTGTTGAACAATGCATAGAAAACACTAATGTCATTCAGAAAATTAGCAAACAAATTTCATATCACAAGGAAAAGTAACATATAACAAGCTTTCTATTCTAGACGAAGGATCATGTGAGAATAGAAATTAAAGTGAGAAGCGTAAGAAGGGATCTAGACCCTTGATCACTTTTAATCTCAATCTCACCCCCACTCCATGAATTGCGCTTGTTACCAGAATTGATCTAGTGCATCTTGGTGCATCTCATTACTGTTGATCTCCAATTAGGATTGATCCAAGGGTGGAGATCCCTTCTTATTCTTCTCAGCGGAACCCATCCCTTCTATTTTATGTTCTATATGGTATGAAAACAAGAAAAGCATACAAAATAAACTCAAGTACTTCTTAAGAGAATGGCGAACGATCGATCATGGAACTGTGTATAATGTGTTTTGCACAAGCTAAAGTGAACTTGGTGAAATAAACAATGATTGAATGCCAACCAAAAACACAATTTGCCGATGGATCAAGAAGTTACCAAGCATGATTATGCAGGATCGATATTACCCTGCTAAAAAGCATCTAATATAGCACAAAAAAAGAGCCACAAGGGATTAGTCGAGGTGCGCAAGCTGGCCTAACACCTACAGTTACCAAAAAGAAACAAGATGAGCTATGTACAAAGATATATTATTTCATTAGACATATAACATTCCGAAGGCTGAGTGTTTGAGATAAGTATCTGTATACAAACCGACTTCCTGTTGCCATAACATAAGAATTGAACCTGATCAACTTGCAGCCAAATGTGTGAACTACAAAAACAGTAACATTCTCAGAGATCAAATACCTCCGCTAAAGAGCAAAAACTACAGATACATCCACATAGGAAAAGAAGAATAGTGTCATTTCCCGATCTTAGAGTGAGCAAGACATAGTAACAGTTTATATCAAGTGATCCACAAGCAAGCGTAATAAACTGGAAATTGTCTGAAAATGAACAAATGAACAGCAAAAGAAAGGAAAAAGTAAACCAAAGAAAATTTTAAAATAATCCCATGTAACTAGACTAGGGAATAACTCTTAGGCTGCTTAGTTGGTTTTCCATTAAGTTCTATATGAATAAAGGTGTCTGTGTGGATTAATCTGTCTGTAAAGATTGAAAGGATTTTTGTTTGAGAGGGTTTTTTTCTTAGATGGGATGATCATTTTTTTCAATTGGGAGAGGTAAGTTTGGAAAAAACTTGGCTTTCTGCAAAAGCTTCCCTCTAGAAGCTTACTGAATAAGCCACTTCCTATATTATGCCACTACCAAAACAGTCATTTATAGCTGACCACATAAGCTGTGAGTCCCATTAAGCTCATTAAACTGCCAACAAACAAGCTTTACTCACATAAACCAAGATCTTAAGCATTGGAAGTCTAAAACACCATATAAGACGTCCATTAATCTTTATACAGATAAGTATACAGAAGATAGAAGCATTGAACCAATAACACAAACAAACTTTATCTACATTCTATTATCGAGTTGTAACTTGTGGTACGCAATAAAGGCTCAATTTTGGCAGAACATGTTGAAATAGAAGAATACAACATGATGGTTGAGGAATATACTTAACAAGCAAACGACACATAAGCATTTAATCATCTGCTAGCAAAAATCTAATAAAACCATACTTCACCTCAGTGTTCCAAAAGTTCCTGATTCACTTCCACCTCACCACCTGATTGCTAAAAGTCCACCAGATAAGCTATCAATCAATTGTAGGATTAGACTTCCTCAAACCTATCAATCAATTGTAGAATCATGCATAATCTAGAAGAGCAATAAATGTATACTGAATGCTAGCAACTTTAACAGAAACATACTTGAACTTCTACTTTATTTCCCAAAAGACAAAGAAGAAGAGAATGATCGACACAAGAAGCAAGAAAGAACCCTCTATTCCACATGATAGCTCTAAAATATTTAGATAGATGTACTCTTACAACTATTGCTGCCATATATTTTCGCCACTTCAAATTAGGGGTGGACTTTATTTTGCTTCCGTCCTATATGTAAATTCAACAACTCTATTGATAATAACTAATGCTACACTTAAAGTTGCAGTCAGAAATCAAAAACCATTGTAGTTCAACTCTTGTCTACGATGGGCCATCCGAAGGACGGCAATCATCACAACAGTTTGTAACACCTAAACAATCCAAACTCGAAGTTGATGCCAATACTGATTGAGGGGCTGAATTGAGATGAATGGATAAATCATGGTGAATTTAGCAAATGAACAGCATTGCTCTGCGAAGAAGTTGGTCGCCGATGTCTGGGTAACCTTATACTATTGCTGGTTTCTTGATTGTTTTGAGCTCCTCCATACTACCGTATGAACCACAATACCTACTAGAGCAAAAAATCAATCGACAATTACAAATAGGTACAAAGCAGAATGTGGTAAACAAGTCTAACATGTAAATTTATTATATACCATGTTGGTAGACTATATGCCCAACTTCAAGGTAAGTAACTCGGTCTACGGAACCATAAGTACATACATGAATAAGTGAGAGGAAAAGATGGTAAAAATATCCAAAGAAACAGACAGAAAGGTGATGGGGTGGATTAAGTTTTGCTCGTGTTTTCTCATTGAAGCTTTGCATATTATTGTGACTTAATTAATCGAAGATAAGCATACCAGAGGATAGCAGCAAATTGAATGCAAATTTCTTTTCATATGATAACAAAGAAGAAATTTTTCCAAGCCAACAACATGAACACATTACTCCTTGGAATAAGATGGATCAATAGAAAAACATTCTACCAGATTGTTGTTTAATGACTATTCCTTAAATTTAGATATGCAATCGGTAGTGTGATATTAGAAGTTAAGTAAGCAAGCAAGTTCAAAATCTAAAAGCTCTGTAATTTTGATATGAAGAACTTAGAAACATGTCCATGGAAGAATAAAGAGACGTTGAGCTCATCATTGAGCTTCAAACCTCCAGCCTCAAACCCCTAAGCAAAATGTTGCTTGGGATATGAAACTAGCATATGATTATTATTATTTTGTAAAAAGTACATTGATGCCTGCAACTTCGATAAAAAATCAAGGCAAGCAATCAACTATAAGATAAATATGTATCTATCACCATCTTGATTCTTGAGTAATTAGCAAACAGAATTCTCTAAAGTTTGACTAATTAACACAATTACTTATATGAAGCAGACTTTTAAGAGACAAACTTGAATTGACAGTAGCATTATTCATGTGATAACAAATCTTCATAGAAATTGAACATATGGCCAGATATCTTAACACTTGAGCAGGGCTTTTAAGAGAAACTCAAATTGACTCGCATCACCGGTTGATGAAACGATTATCAAGGGACTCGGTCTATGTTATCCAGTCATCTAGTCATGTACTTTGGTCACAGAAATATATCACAGGGAACTGCATTTCACATTATAATTGAAATTGTCCCTACAACATGCTAGAATAAACAAGAACTATATCCACTTATTGATTTGAACTCTCCTACTACTTCTTGAGCTCTACTTTACCATGTGTGTCTCCAATCTCCATAGTAACATTCCAACCAAAAAAAATCAGGTTTCGTGTAAAGGATACACTTGTTTTTTAAGCTACCTATTAGAAGAAACAGAGCAACATGTCTAGGCAAAGGTAGACAGAGTAGAAACATTGATTCAATCATCCATCCATTCAAGTGTAGGAAAAAGCAAACAAGTAGCTCACCTCTCTTTTTGTTTGGACAAATTTCCAATTTACTGTATAGAAACTCTATTTATCGTTGGGAGTCATACGGTGCTGGTATGGTGAAACTGAAGCAAATTTATTCGCAGACCAGTCTCTTTGTTGCATCATCATATTATATGGATGAGAATGTGACTCAAACCCATGATGATAAGCAGCACCACCAGCTCCTGCCGGATGAGGTACCATCTGCGGCGGCGGATAAGGCATATGCACCATTTGCGGTGGGTATGGCATTGGAATCGGTACTGGAGTGTGACTATTTCCATTTCCACCTCCACTGGACTCGTGTAAACTCTGAGGAACAGGAGTCGATGCGAACAGATGATCCGAAGACGAGGGGCCTTCATTAGACAACCCCTGCATCCGTTTCAGATAAAGCCTATACTTCTGAAGATGACTCGCGACATTCTCTCGCGTCAATCCTTCAACATTCATCAACTGCATGATCGTTTTAGGAACCGCATTCTTAACACCTAGATGCGCAACGACGTCCACAAATCGCTTGTGCAATTGCGGCGTCCAGACCAAGCGAGGCCGCTTCGATGTCCTCGTCGACGAATCATCGGCTCGCAAAGCCGAGTCAGCTTCCTCTCCAGCTCCACCAACCGCACCGGCACCACCACTATCGACTCTCCTCAATTTCCTAGAATCTGAACCATCTCCAGTTAGATCAGCGGTCTCCTCACCTTCCATAACCATTTCATCTCCTTTATCCTCACCAAACGACTTAAAACCATTGAATTTATTCAACGGCTGTTTCATCGACTGGCCTCGGAGATTCGTTAGTGTGTTTTGAGAAGCGCGATTAACGTCAATCATGCTCCGGCGAGGCTCCGGCATAACGCTGAAAGCCGAAGCCAGCTCCGGCGGTACCAACGACTGTGACAATGGCATCAAATCATCAAGGGTAGGCAATCCGGCCTCCCACTCCAAAACTCGATCATCGTCATCGCCGCCGACATCGTAGTCGGTAATTCTCACTTCTTCTCCCATAAACGAAAATGGAGATGCATGAATGGATTTCAGCGGTGAATCCAGAAAATGGATTGTCAGATTTTTGAGTGAAGAAAATAGGAGAGAGATCACGTGTGAATGATGGAACTGTTGCGAGATATTTCGGGGGAAAGTGCAGGATTATTTATGAATAAAATGTGGCAAAAGTGCAGGATCTGATTCCAATTGCGACCCCCACACAACACTCTCGATTCTTTCCAAATATCTCTTCCAATTCAACCCATCAACTTCAATCTTTATTCTTTTTTAACTTTAATTTTGGTCCTTAGGGTATCTAATAAACTACTTAAATGGTCCTTCCAATCAAAACAAATTACAAAAATTATCCTTGTGGTTTGTTGAAATTTTCTGTTTCCATCCCTAGTCTTCATTTATTACGTTTTTGGTCATTTTGGTTTGCATTTTATTTGTGTTTTGGTCCTTGACACTGACGCCGATCTCGTGCTCCAGTTAAAACGCATCACATGAGGGGCACTTCAGTAATAATAATTATATTGTTTTTCACATGTTTGGTGTGATTGGAATAATGTGTACAAGTTGGATTTTCCGTGTTCGATATAAAAATCAAATTCTTTGAATTCACCAACATATTTTAACAAACATAAAATTAGGGGTGAGCATAGGCGGGTACCCGTCCTATTGGACAGAAATCGGAACCGACGGTTTTTGAGATATTGGAACCGAAACTGGAACCGCCGGGAACTGGTTCCAGTTCTAGGTACCCGCTTCTTAAAATATTAAAATTTTGTTATTTAGAAATAAAAAAAATAAAACATTGCCAAAACACTAAATAAATAAACAAGATTACAAATTATACGGAATAATGGTTACAAATATTGTTTAACGATTACAAACCATAATAGATTAATAGTAAATGTTGAAATTTTAATGATTACATACTATAATTGTAAATGTTCAAAGTTTAATGATTACATACTATAATTGTAAATATTCAAAGTTTAACGATTATATACTACAAATCCAATTAAACACACAATTTGAAAAAATACGAATAATTTTATCTCAAATTCTGAATCTCGTTTCAACTTCTTGCATACTCATCGCATTGTCAACCTTATACGGTGTCTGTGAATAATTGAATGTTAAAAAAACTACACAAACTCATAAAAAACTGCACATATTTTCAACAAAAAAAACTGCACATATTTTTAACAAAAAAACTACAAAAATTTTATATAAAAAAAACTGCACAAACTTTGTATAAAAAACTGCACAAAATATATAAAAAAAACTGTGCATATTTTAACAAAAAAACTACACAAATTTTATGTAAAAAAACTACATAAACTTTGTATAAAAAGCTGCACATATTTCTAAAAAAATGCACAAATTATATAAAAAAACTACACATATTTTTTTACAAAAAACTACACAAAATATAAAAAAAAAGATTGCACAAGTTCGTAACTTATGACTTACACAAAACATAAAGGAACTAGTTAGTCCTGGCGGATAACGGTTCCGAAAAATTGAGAATCGGAACCGGAACCATTCTCAATCGGTTACATGTTTTAGAAACCGGAACAACTCATATCGGTTTCGGTTCCGGAATCGGCAGTTCTAAGGCAGTTCCGGTTCCGCAAGTGGGTACCCGGTTCCGCTGCTCACCCTTACACAAAATGTCTTCATCGGTCCCTAGTGGTTGTAACGCAAAATCCAAGTTCGTCTTAGGTTTCATGAAATGGAAGTACATTGGCTTATTAATCAACTTCTACACCATTGATTTCAACCCATGAACAAATTGAGCAGTGTCAATTAAGTCCATGTAGCTTACCTTTCCATTGACGTATTATGTGTCTGGAAACTTGGTAAAAGATCCACCATGGTATATCTTCATGGAAAAAAAAGCTGGGAACACGGTGAATATTGAATAAAATAGATTACCATAAAGGTCATGTGTGTTAAAGACTTCGTACAGGGATCAAAGTCGCCACATTGATGGAGATTTGTTGACTATCGCAGATGTTGTTGTAGTGGAACGTGGGAGAAAATGTGGTTGGGAGACGTATTGAGTTTTTTTTCTTGGTGAAAGGATGCCTTCGAGAAACCCTAGGTTTTACCCTGGGTGAAAGTGAGTAATAAAGGGATGTCGGTTAAGCGGGAAAAGTGAAGAGACTAAAGTGCCCCTCACGTGATGCATTTTAACAGGAGCACAAGAACAGCGACAATGCTAGACAAAAATAGAAAGAAAAAAAAATTCAAACCATAATGACCAAAAACGTAATTAATGAAGACCAAGGACGAAACAGAAATTTTCAACAAACCACAGGGATGAAAAATGTAATTTACTCTTGATTCTATTAAAAAAAAAATCCGTTAAATAAATATGTTACCATTGATTTTTAACAAATTCATACATTTGAAGATGATTAAGTGTATGTAAATTTTTTTAATACGACTTAAAGTGAATATAAATTTGAAGATACAGGTAAATAAATATTGTCGAAAGCATGGACGGACACATAAATTTTTTTAAGTGATGACATTATTTGACTATAAGAAACAAATATATGATATTTTTCACAAATTATCTTTGTATGTTGGTTAGTTCATTCTTTTTATATGTGATATCATGCGCTCAAGTTTTTTATTGCAAAAAATTCAGAAAGATAGTAAACCTGGAAATTAAAGCTAAAACCAAGAAAATACAACTCATTTCACGAGTCAAGGCATGACCGATAAATATAAATAATCGTATATGAACTAAAATGCATTTTTTTTTGCAAATTACATCATTATAATCGTCTCATTAATACCTTCGAATTGAGTCCAATATTGAATATTTTTAAATTTAATAATACTATTAAATATTATGAATGCCTACGAATTAATTTATTTTATATCAATACATTTTCATTTTTCATTTTACATCTTTACCATATGAAAAATGTGTTTTCTTTATTAACCAATTACGAACAATTAATAATTGGATTTAATATTTATTAATATTAGTAATAATTATTTTTTATTAATATTTTATGAATAATTAATATTTATTTTTAATTAATAGTAATAAATAACTATTAATGTTAATCAAGGTTATAATTGGAAAAAGTAACAATTAGCTCATAAAAAGCTATTTTAATTAGTTTATCAATAAGTTAACATATGTTCATCTAAAGACTGTCCAACAAATAAACTACTTGTTTTTTTTTCCAAACAATGTCTAAACTGATTTACTTGATGTTTGCTTGAGTTTTTCTCATTAATTATTCATGGTATAATTATTAGCAGCATACTTTTTGAGGTCGTTTGTAGGCCTCTATCATACATAAGAACGTTGCGATGTCCAAGAAATCAAGGTACATCTTTATATTTTTATCCATTATTTCACTAAAAGACATTAAATACGTAAGAAAAATCAAATAACACATTACAAAATTGCGTATTGACCCAAGCATGCCATAAGCTTTAATGTCGTCATGTCATACATGAGCCTTGAATCACGGCGTACCATGACGGCTGCCGTTTTAAGCCTTTTAGAGCATTGGTTTCTATTTATTATCATTTTTAGATTTGATTAAAGGGTTTTTTTATTGAGTAACATTGTGAAACATCAATCGATCTATCTGATAAATCATCTTTTTAATACAAAGCCACATTTTTCCAGATTAATGTTCCATATTGCTTTTCAATTAGAATAAATCGGCTTGATTTTCATAACTAGTTCCTATATGGAACATGAGAGTCCAATTGATTTGCTTCACTTTACTATAACCAACAATTAATGCATAAGTTAATCTTTAAAAGGCAAGAACAACAAATACTTTGGGTTAAAAAAATTATTTCAAAAAATTCGACCAATCTAGCATTTTAACTTTTGAATTTATAAATCATCTTATTTATAATTTAAAATCACAACAAACTATAAAATTAGCATCGAAAGAGACGGAGAATAAAACAAAATTTGAAACAATATTGTCGTTTCAGATTGTTGTTTGCATGAATACAAATTTGAACCGATCATCCAAGGGTGGTGTCTAATTGGTTTGAGCTTGGCTCCAAAGGTCAAAAGTACCTGGAGGTCCAGGTTCAAATCCAAGGAGGAATAAAAATCACTTTGTGGTCACGGAGGTTCAAATGCGGTGACTCGGGCTATCTGCAAAGCAGGTGGTTGTCTTGGGATTAGTCGGCGCATAGCAGGTTGGATATTCAGGTTAAAATAAATAAAAATCCGAACCGATCATGCAATTCCAATCCAGCTGCTGCCTGCAAGTTTTTTCAGCTTCATTTTCTTCATCGTTCGTTTGACCCTCGCAGAACATCCCCAGCTACCGGCATCAGCATACAAATTGGACAACAGTAGGCTGCTACCGGCACTTTCAGGCTCGAGCTCAGCCACATGCTTAGCCGCTATCTTCGCAAGACCAACGTTTCCGTGAAGCTTACTCGCACCCAACAACGCACCCCATACGAACACATCAGGCTCAATAGGCATTTCCTGAATCAAATCATGAGCCTCGGCCAGTTTCCCTTCTCGTCCCAACAAATGCACCATACACGCATAATGCTCTAATCTCGGCCGAATCTTGAATTTCTGTTGCATGATCAAGAACAAGTTTTTGCCAAGATCAATCATTCCAGATTGGCTGCAAGCAGTTAGAACTGCTGTGAAAGTTAGATGATCAAGTTTGTCTTTTCCGTCAACCATTTGATTGAATAAAGCAATCGCGTCAATGCAATGTCCATGATTCGCGAAGCCGAAGATCATGGAGTTCCAAGTGATCGTGGTTCTTTTAGGCGTGTTCTTGAAGAGTGTTTTCGCTTCGTAAATGAATCCACATTTCGCGTACATGTCTATAAGAGCGCTACGAACAAAGACGTCTTTTTCCACTCCAATCACTACCGAATATCCATGAATCTGTTTCCCACGTGTTGAATCTGCAAGAATTGCACAAGCGGGCAAAAGGGAACTAATTGTAGCGGAAGTTGGATGCATCCCAGTACACAGCATTTTCTTGAACGAATCGAAAGCTTCACGATTTCGGAAATTGTGAACGTATCCAGAGATGAGTGATGTCCAAGAAACCACATCGGGATCAATCCCGGCTTCCTGCATCAATTGGAAAAGTTTGGCGACATTTGAATCATCGTTGGCTTGTGAAAAACCTGCTATTAGCGTATTCCAAGTGACCAAATTTGGTACTAAACCCATGGACCGTGTCTTCTCGACCAAGACTACTGCATCGTTGACGAATCCATGTTGAACATAGCCTGCAACCATGGTGTTCATAGCCACCAAATCCATTCCTACCATCAAATCGAAAACCCTCCTCGCCTTTTCGATTTTCCCACATTTCGAGTACATATCGATCAATCCACTATTAACAAAAGCATCAGACTCAAATTCTTGTTTTACAACCACAGCATGTAATTTCTCCCCAGTTTGTGCATCCAGCAGGTGCCCACATGCTTTTAAAACACTGGGCACGAGAAACCTGTTGGGTTCCAAGCCTTCTCTTTGCATCTCGCAGAACACAGCCATGGCCTCCTGGTGAAACCCATGGCGTGCATACGCACCTATCAGAACAATCCATCGGCGAGTGTGTCTTTGAGGAATTTCATCAAACAGTTTGCGGGCATCACATGTTTGACGGCATTGGGTGTAGAAAGCTAAGAGCTTTGAGGCAACATAAGTGGAACGAGCTAATCCATTGATGATTAGGTGTGCGTGTAGACGTTTTCCTGATTCTAGTGATCGATTGCGAGCATAGTTTTCGATAATCTTTACGTAGCCATTGGAATCTGATTGAGAAGAACTAAAATAATGCATAGATAAAACGGCGACCAGAAAACCCAGAAATCATTTCACTTTCCTAATTCGCATTCTTGGCCGCATACTATTTCAAAAACTCTACGAATTGGGAAGTTACCATTTCTATGTTTTAGTGTAACAACTTCAAGGAAAAATATGTTCCATTTTAGATATATGTTTGAATTTGCATTTCTTTCGAGCCTACTCCATGTTTGTCTCTTTATTTCTGAAATATGTTTGATACCATTTGCTATCAGGTCTTGTACCAAATTCAGGGACGGATCCAGAATTTTTTTTAAATGGTGGCATCATTTGACAATAAGAAAAAAAATATAGGAAATTTTTTTCAAACGGTAACACCGTTTGACTATAAAAAACAAATATACGGAATTTTTTTTCAAACAGTGGCACCATTTGACTAAGAAAATAACACTAACATGATTCGGACTTGAGTGTGGGGTGGAATAAAAGTCTTGCAAACCAACTCTACCAAATAAAACTTGTTCTCATTATAGTTTCAAAATACATACGGTGGCACACAACAAATTAATACGGTTGCACCGTTCACGAAACCTAAATTTTTTACCCTTCGGCGGAGAAACGTTACGGTGGCACGTGCCACCCATGGCACCTATGTAGGTCCCGACCAAATTAGTTAGTTCTTTCTTGAATGGACCCTTATATATATGTATGTATATGTATATTAGAAGGGTACTCGTATAATGTAGCGAGATACATCTCCATTTTAATGTTTCGTTTTATTTTTGTATATGTCGATATAATACGATCTATGTGGTTTTGAGAAAGATAATGTTTTTACTTTTGAATAAAAATAAATTTGAAGACATCATAAATATATCGATATTAATATCAAATTAACTATCTAAAAGTTCTCGTTTTTTTACAATTTCTTTAATTCAATTTTTATACTATAATTTAATTTAAGTCAGATAATGAAGTAATCTATTTTTGGCGTAACAATAAATCTTTTATAAAAATAATGATTATGTTAGAACTCAAATGATTATCCTAATTATATTTTAGATTTTTATATTTAAAATAAAATATTTATCATATATTTGATTATGTTTATCTACAGTCGATTATACAAATTCAAAAATTGATCTTTAATAAGTTATAATTATACATAATTTACTTATAATTTTAAATTTTAAATAATATATATTAATACATAATACTTTATGCACAAGAAATAGTTTTTAAAATTTTTATAAAATATTTTATATCACCTATTTCTCTTCACCACTATAAAATAAAACCTCATACAGCCGGCACATAACCAACCAACCATATGATTTAGATTACATCCACAAACCCTTGTTTATGACTTGATGAATTTGCGTGGATCTTTATCCCCAATTCTCAAACCCTTAAATTCCAATTCCCTCCCTCTTTTCCTGCAAATTCAACCAACTCTTTCCATACCCATTTGCCGATTTGATGCTCCCAATTGCAGGTTTCGCTTCTCACCCATCTACAGGAATTTGAGAACAACAAGAAGAAGAAATTACCATAAAACCCTTGTGAAAGCTAGTAGTAGAGAGTCTCCTTATCAAGTTTTAGGAGTCTCTCCTTCTGCTACTCCTGCTGAGATCAAAAGGGCCTACAGGAAACTTGCTTTGAAGTATCATCCTGATGTCAACAAAGAGGTTTTAACTTCTTTTAATTGATTAATCTATAATTATTTGTTGTTTGTTTTAGTTAACAAGTTCTTTATTTTGAACAACTGGTGGTGAAACTTGCTCTCTTAATTTGTTCATACAGATTTACATCTGGATGTGTTTGTGTGTTTTGTTTGATCATTTTGACTGACAATTGTTTTTATTAACCTGGATATCCAACCCGCAATGGATCCGACTAATCCAGGGCGACGACTGCTTTGCATATAGTCCGGAGTCACCGCATTTAAACCTCCATGGCCACATGGGGATTTTCATTCCTCTTTGAATTTGAACCTGACCTCATGGTATTTTTGACCTTTTGAGCCAAGCTCAAACCAATTAGGCACCAGCCTTGTGGTTATTATTTGGGGTTTTACAATTTACATTGAGGTTTTTGTTTTTTATTACACTGTTTCTTAAGTTTAGTTAGTCTGAGAAATGCATCAAGATGCAACATAGTTGGTCTTAGTTCCTATATAGTGTACCCAAATGTAACAGGGTTTCAAAATCTACTATTTATACCCATTTTGACTGGTAATTTGCTTATATATATTGTAACATTTGATGATGTGTATGCCTGTTTAAAAAAGGTTTACAAAAAGGGTTATGACGAAGAGGACGATAAACTTCATATGCACATCTTCAAATGTTACAACATTGGAAAAGAAAAAAACCAAACAAACTCAGCATATCCCTCTCGAATATATCCCACTCGAAAGCAGTATCTGGGTTTGAAAGATCATAAGATACTTTGCAACTTTAAAAACCCAAAGATTTTATCTATGTAGAGTAATAAAGCCGATATAGGTGAGTAAGTTAGAGAGAAAAAGAGACGATGGAAACTATAACTTGTGTACTTTGAACTCTTTAATACTCAGGCCAATGCTCAAGAGAAGTTTTTGAGGATAAAGCATGCATACAACACGGTGCTGAACTCTGATTCACGGAAGAAATACGACTCTGGAAACAGTAATACGTCTGAAGCATACAAGCGTGCTGAAGATGAAGAGTTTTATGGTTTTGGTAAATTAATTATGCACGTTTGAATGATTCTTTGCTTTCTTATTTGTATTTGCTTGCATCCTTTAGCCTTAAAGCAACTACTAAGGTTAAGCCTTGGGGCTCCTCCTCATACGTCGCCAGTTCGAGTCTCCTCAGGGTCACTAGGGAATTTTCCTGGTTGTTATCTTCAGGGCCACATGGGATTAGTCGAGGTGCACGTAAGTTGGTCTGGACACCCACGTTACCAAAAAAAAAAGTAGCAAGTCATGGGAATAACCATTTTGCAAAATGCAAAGGAGATATAAGTCATAAGTGTATAGAAACATCTCTTCCGAACCCACAAAGCCAAGGAGCATGTTGGTCGCCTTTGTGTTCTTTTCTCTTTTCACATATTTACGTACTCATCTCAATACTATTTTATTAGACAAGTTATATGCCATTTGGGGTTTTCTTAACTAACGTCACAAGTAAATTTTTTTGAAATAAAAAACTTCTAATTTATCGTTTTTAATGTGATCTATGGCAATCACGCCCTTCCCTTTTGCTATAAAACGTTACCTTAACCAAACGAACCCAATGAATCTCACACAAAGGTCGTGTCTGAGGGGTAGGATGTGCGCATATGTTGCCTATATCCCAAGGGGTAGACAAGTATGTCTCTTAGTTGTTTGATTTGCCCACTAGCATGCCTCTAAACTAATAGAGATTAGTATAGCCTCATTCTGCAAAATTCTTTAGGTCATCCAATATTTCCGTCTTGTGGGTCCCATTTATATAGCACGAGATGATCCTAAAATGGGAGCCACAAGATGAAAAACGGATGAAACTAATAAATAAACCGAGTGGAAACCTCGGACATTTGATAAAAATCAAGATTCAAGTTTCATGCCCTCATACCTTAACCACGTTTGAACTGCAGGTAATTTTTTGAGGGATGTCCAAATATCATTAGGTAGACACATCTTTTTTTTTTCCACAAATATAGCAACATGTTATAAAAGTTGCCATTTTGGGCAAACCCCATTATCTTTGAAGATGAAATCTATCTCATGAACCACAAGGGTGGTGCCTGATTGGTTTGAGCTTGGCTCCAAAGGTCAAAAGTACCAGGAGGTCTCAGGTTCAAGTCCAAGGAGGAATAAAAATCCCCTTGTGGCCCGGAGGTTCAAATGCGGTGACTCCGGGCTATCTGCAAAGCAGCTGGTCGCCCTGGGATTAGTCGGCTCGCATAGCGGGTTGGATATCCAGGTTAATCAAAAAAATCTATCTCATGTAATCTTGTTCTTGAATTCTGGGTTTATTTTCTTATAGGGGACTTCCTTAGAGATCTGCAAGAAGAATATAGGAACTGGGAGGCAACTGCTCCTTCACAAGCAAAGCCAAAGAGCTTATGGGAGGAACTAGCGGTAATATTTTCTTTAACTTGTCAAGGAAATAACCGGTTACATAAGGTCTGTTGTCAGTTACTCCGGAACAGGGGCGGGCCTATGAAGGCCCCCGCTCAACCGATTTTCGCAAGTAGAATTCTTTTTGGGGTATGAAAGGTGCACACACATGCATATTTTTATCCGTTTTTCTGCACACTTTGCACAAGCCGCAGGAGGGTCTTAACGAAAACAGTCGCTTTACTCTTTTTGCATCTGCACATCCGGATGGGATATACTGGGCTTGTTTTGGTTTAGAAAATTACTAAAAATCTTGTATTTGATAGGAAATCGGGGAAGAATTTGTCGAGTTTCTTGAAAAAGAGCTGAACATCACAGATAGTGAAGATGAAACAGAGAGAAGATATGAAGAACCTGCAACTTCTGGTAAGGGTAGAAGTGGAAATGGTGGTACAAATGAAGGTGACAATGGAAGCAGTATTGAAGACAACATAGATGAAATTGAAGCTGCACTTGCTCAATTAAAAAGGGAATTAGGGTTGTGAACAACAATGTCACCATTTCTTTTGGGTATTCAGCTCTTGGAATGTCTGTTGCAACTTCTTTGGTTTGTGCAGGAAATTCAAGAATTTAGCTGCAAATGCAGGTGAATTTTCTACATTATTGTGCAAAAAGCTTGAGGATGTAGGAAGAAAGCATTTAATTCTATAACTGTATCAGAAAAACATTCAATTTGTAAAGATCAATAAACAGTCAACAAAATTAATTTTATTGTACTTCTCTTTTATTTTATTACAACAATGTACCTTGAATTTTTTTTATTAATCTGGATATCCAACATGTTATGTGAACCGACTAATCTCAGGGCGACCATATGCTTTGCAGATAGCCCGGAGTCACCGCATTTGAACCTCCGTGGCCACAAGGGGATTTTTATTTCTCCTTGGATTTGAACCTGAGACCTCTTGGTACTTTTGACCTTTGGAGCCAAGCTCAAACCAATTAGGCACCATTCTTGTGGTTGAAATTATTTTTTATTAAACACAGAATTTAGAAAAATGGGAAAGCTCTAGAAAAACCAGATGGATATTTTTCCTATTTTGAGGGATGAAGTCTTTGGAAAAAAAATTGCACAAAGAAATCTTTGGACTTCTAGAAAATTGGTTAATGTAGTAAAATAATGGGAAAGGTTCAGAGAAGAATCAATGGACTTTCATATTTTGAACGATTAAGTCTTCGTATATATTTATGAAAGAAAACAAAAATACCATTTCAATACCCTTTTCAAAACATATAAAAGTTGTACCTATAGCATAAGTAGATGCATACAGGATATTAAAAGTTGTACCAAAATATATTAAGAGTCTTGTCTATTGAAGAACTCTTCTACACTTGCATCATCGATTTCTGGTTGAGATACAACCATTAGAATTTCCTATAACCCTTCTTAATGTCCAACAACCTCACATTCATTTATGTTCATCATCAACAACACCTTCATCAAGTTCTTCATCACCAACAACTTCACTTGAAGTTGAATATGGTAAGAAGTCCTTCAGCCATGTTGGTTGTAACACATCTGAGAATGTCTTTAATAATGAATAGAGAGTGTAACACATCACCAAAACACATGGGACGACTTTACGAACCTTTGATTCACCTAAAAGGTGCACCTGCTAGGTAAAAATCCTCAGTCCATCACTAAGTAATAGTCATTAACAGGTAACTTGTGAAGCCAAAAAAACACAAATGGCATTATTGAGATGTATTTCAACTACTTACATGCCATAATTGAGATGAAATGGAAGACACATAGGTTTTGCTTATGAATACTAAGTAAAATGATTTTATAATCTTATGAAAAATATTCCAAATTTCTTCGTTTGAGGGGCAAAAAAATATCGTGATCATCTAAAACAAAAACCTTTACAACCTATTTCTTGTGACAAGTTAATCCCTTGGCCAGGTATAAATATTTTGAATTTGTCACTGGCGGAGGAGTGAACAATAAATAAATGATTGAAATATTTACAGGGTATGTTTGGTACGCAGACTACATGAGACATGACGGGATAAATAAAATAGTCCCATGTTTCTGAAAAGCAATCCGCTTGAATCTCAGATAGTCATGTGCTTTCATCTTGTCCTCCATAAAGCTCAGAAAGCATCTGTGAAGATGATCAAACAATTAGAGGTAAGAAGCCCGAAATTCCCACAAAGCAGTGCTGGTGGATCTATGAAGTAATAACTGTTCATGAATTTCAATTACGATTTTGTTGGTGACGAAAGGGTACTAGAAACTAGAAACTCTTTTGAGGTAGCTCAACCGGTAAAATCTTGGGTTCCCCCGGCGCAATTGCTCTTGGAGAGTTGGCGGGTTTGTTAACTTCAAGACCCTCAGAATTAGTCGAGGTGCACACAAGCTAACCCACAGTTATAAAAAAAAAGGGTACTAGAAGATATCGGTGGCTTTACTTCCTTACTAGTCCCTCTGTCCAAAATAAGTGTTCACATTTCTATTTATTTTTGTCCAAATAAGGGTCCATTTTCTAAAATAGAATACTAAATTCTCAAATCTACCCTTAAATTTAACATATAAATATTTAAGAATTATGAAGAGAGATAAACTCATAACGGGTAAATTTGTCATTTGGTTAACTAAAAAATGTAGTAAACAACTAATTATGCATGTCTAAAACTGTGTCGTTTCTATTCAGTAGACACTTATTTTCAGATGAAGGGAGTAATCACAATAAATAAAATTTTCAATTTTCAAACTACATGAATGTATTCATAGTTACATGTAGCTGTTGAAATTTTTGCTGCTAAGAGGTTTGTCCATAAAGCACATGGATGATCCATAAAGTATCAAGAAATCTTGAAAGATTCATAGATTCTAAATAGTTCATAAACCGAAAATGAAAACTCACAGCGAGTCAAGTTATATCCAGCTACAACCTGCTTTTTTCTTGATTCCTCTACCGATCATGAGGTCATGTGCTCCAGCCGAATCATCCCAGTAACCATTGGTAGCCAAGATATTCGATAGCTGAACATAAGTTGCTGGATCATCAGGAAAACGATCCACAAATTTTCTTGATATACGCAAAGCAATTTCCTTATTGCCATGAACCCGACAAGCACTTAACAGAGCTTTATAGATCGAGGGTCCTGCTTCTATCGGCATGCTATTAAAAAAAGTTTCTGCTTCAAAAAGATAACCAGCTCTAGCATAAAGGTCCACGATGCAGCCATAATGTTCAAGTTTGGGTGGTTCAAGGGAACTATCATTCCTCATTAACCCAAAGTATTTTATCCCCTTATCAAGCCATCCTACATGACTACAAGCAGAAAGCATGATAAGATATGTGGTCAAATCGGGTTTGACCATGGTTTTTGTCATTTGTTCAAACGCTTCAACAGCTTCCCTGCCATACCCATGTTGAGCATATCCTGAAAGAAGTGAATTCCAGGATATAGTGTCATGTTCAACCATTGATGAGAACATCCCTTTTGCTTCATGAATTTTACCACATCTTGCATACATGGAAATAAGCCCGTTTTGTATGTATATATTTGAATCGTATGCTGACTTGATAATAAGGGCATGGACTTGACTACCCTCCTCAAGACCTGCTATTACTCCTGTAACTTTTAAAATACTTGCAACTGTAAAGAAATCGATATCAATACCTGCCTGCCTCATTTCTGAAAAGCAAGAAAGGGCCTTTTCACCACTTCCCAAGTTCGAAAATCCAGCAACTATGGCATTACACGATATTTGGTTCTTTATTGGAACTGTTGAACAGATCTTGTAAAAATCTTCAAAGTTGCTACCACACTGTGAATAAACGGTCACTAAAGTAACTGCCAAATGCAAATCAGATTCTAACCCTTCTCTTATAACGCGACAATGAATTTGTTCACAATGGACCATATCCTCTGGATTACAAAATGAACTTAATAAATAATTATAAGTTACAGATTCTGCTTTGTGACCCATAGACAGCATTTCTCTAATCATATACATTGCCTTGTCGGCTTGTTGATTCTGTGCGTAACCAGTGATCATTGAGGTCCAAGAAACAGCATTTTTATCAGGCATGTTGTCGAATATTTTCCGAGAATCATCCACGTCTGAACATTTCCAGTACATCTCAAGCAACGCCGTACCCACCACAACATTAGAAAGAAACCCAGATTTTGTACCCAAGCCATGCACCTGTTCCCCTAATTCTAGTGCATCCAACTGTGAACATCCAACAAGAACAGTTGCAACAGTAGAATGAGTCGGATAAATCCCCAATCTAAGCATTCCCGTAAACAAATCGACCAAAAGATCCACATGATGTGTATGAAGATAACCCGAAAGCAACGAGTTCCAAGTAATCACATTTCTTTGAGGCATCTCATCAAACAGTTTATGAGCACCAGAAATTTTACCACATTTACAATACATATCTACAAGAGCAGTGTTGATATATACATGCGAACAAAAACCCATCCTGAAAACAAATGAATGAATTTGAATACCCAAAAGAAGTGATCTTGAATTTGCACATGAGGATACAAGTCTGTTAAGAACGTATGAACTACCAACTGACCCATGAGAACCATGCTGTAACTGAACCAAAAGATCAAAAGCATTCGCATTTAACTGATTCTCTTTGGGATTATCAATAATTGAAACGTTACTCAAGCTGAAATTGATGTCCAAGAATGAATGAGGGTTTAGCAGGGTCGATAAAACGCGGGAAAATAGGCAGTGGGTTGATCTGATTTGGTGTTTTAACACAATCTGCATGATCAATGTCCCATTAAAATGCACTCGATTCTTCCTCAAATATACAATAAAAGTTTCGTTCCATTTATGTATCTGGAACTTAAAATAACAGACATGTTCTTAGGGTTGTTTAATTATAATTATGTTAGAGATAATTCGATTACATGGTTGGACAATACAGAACTGGACAAGATTCAGACAGCTTTAGAATAGTATCAATTGAAACATGGCCCGATTCAGATAAAGCTTTAGAATGATATTAATTGCTATTATTAAATCTTTATAGGATATAGTATCTTTTTTTTCTCATTTATGAAAAAAAATATATATATTTCTTCACTTGGAAAAATGAAAAAGTGTGTTCTTGTCTGTAAATAACATATTTCACCTGAAAATAAGGTCTAGACCTTATTTAAACCTGTTTGTTTTCATGAATACTATGAGTACTTGTGGAAAGTGTGAGAAAAAGTTGTCCTAAAAATTAAAGGAAAGGAAAAAAAATAAAGAAAAGTGTAAATTACGATTTTCATCTTTATGATTTGTTAATAATTTTGATTTTCATCCCTATGATTTAAAAGTTGCAATTTTCGTTTCTATGGTTTAAAGTTTATTGGTATTTTTTTTGTCGTTGTACTGATTCCAACATTTTAATACATATAACAAAACAGTACAAAATTATAAACCAGTTGAATCACAACAAAAATATATTGTAAATGATAAGTACAAATATAACAATGCATTAAAAACGACTAGAAGGGTTTTCGTGCAATGCAGCGAGATACATCTTAATTTTAATATTTTATATTATTTTTTATCTCAGTCGATGTTATAATATGATCTTATGTGGTTTTGAAAAAACGATGATGTTTTTAATTTTGAACAAAATATAAATTTGAATATATCATAAATATTTGATAAAAATATATCGATATTATTATCAAATTAACTATTTAAAATTCCTTATATTTTATGTAATTTTTTAATTCAAAGTTTTTATTATAATTTAATTTAGGTTCAATAACGAAATAATTTATATTTGGTTTAATAATATAATTTTCTTATAAAAATAATAATTAATTATTTTGTTAGAACTTAATAATTATCCTAATTATATTTTAGATTTTTTATATTTTAAAATGAGATGTTTATCTTCTATTTGATTATATTTATCTGCAGGTAGTTACACGAATTCAAACATTAAGTTTTAATAAGTTGTACTTATGCATAATTTACTTATAATCTTGAATTTTAAGTAATATGCATCAATATACAGTACTTCATGCATAAAAAATAATTTTTAAGAGTTTTTATCAAATGCTTTATAATATAGTATAGATAAGGACAAAAACAATAATTTCTAAATATTTATAAATTTTAAATTATAAAAAATTGAAAAAAAAATAAATTATAAAATTTTAATAATAAATATAATAATAAATTAAAAGTTTAAAACGACATGAACAAGACCCACAATTTTTAGCAAACGTAATTTAGGGGTGTTTGGAATTGCTTACTTAAAATAATTTATGTTTTTTTTGTAAAAGTGTTTATTAATTTATGTGATATCAAACCGGAGTTAAATATAACAGGGTTAAAATTGTAAACTGGTAATAAACAGTTTTTCATAAATCAGTAAAGATTAACTTATCAAAAACAGCTTATTACCGGTTTGACACCGATATAAGCAGTTTTTTTCTTTATCCAAACATCAGAAAACAACTTATCATCAGTGTCAGACTGAAATAAGTTAAAAAACAGTTTTTAATACAAATCCAAACACCCCCTAACTCTAGAAAAATTGGAAAATGAAAGAAGTAGAAAATTACCAAAATGCCCTTAGGAAAGTCCCACACACCATATAGATGCATAAGCAATGAGGAACATGTGAAACCGTTACGTCTGTAACAACCCTTCAAAACATGACTCCCTTGGCTTTCCTTCCCTTCCCTTCTTAACCCTCCTTTTCTTCCACCACCGCAAACCACCGTCTGTGTCTCTCCGACACCTTCTATTTGTGCATGAAATGGCAACAAACAACGGTGTCTTCAAAGGAAAGCATCCAACGCGGCTCCAGAAACAAGCTCCGGCCACTCTCCAACTGGATGTGGATGATCGGATCCCCAACAACTTGTCTAAAACTGTGATTCCGTTCTTATCCCCTCTGGTACTCTCACCGGCTCCATTGCCGGAAGTCAGTGATGATGAGAAGCGTTCATTTGCCACACCTAACACAAACAATAGTCATGCAATCGGAATAATTCCTCAAGTGCAACAAAGCAGTGGTGGTGGTGCTTCCGGTTGGCAACATCCGGCGATGGCAGGTCCAATGGCTGACGCATCGTCTCTCTACTCTTATTTCCATTCACAATGCACGATCCTTCCTCGTAATCAATGATCCCTAGCTATCTGCTATAGCTCAAGGCTAATTTCTAGATCTGGTGATCGATCATGTTTCTCTTTTTTTTTTTTCTTCCTGAATTCCGATGGTTATTGTACAAATAAAACTTGGTGTTTTAGTTTTGGTGATTTCAATTCAAATGATGTACATCTGATATCGGAGGCCGAAGTTAAGAAGTTGTTGGATAACAATGGGTAGTGTATCTCCGATAGGCAATGGAAATGTTAAAAGTGAACGATTTCAGCAAATATAAGTGATATTTTCCTTCTGCAAATAGTGTAATGGAAATGGGACAGGTAAGTTCATCACTGCTACACTCATCTAATCCCCCGGGTTTGGAGAAGGAATCGGAAACCCATTTAGTAAAGTATATGAAAATAGAATATACATATATTCTATATATATACATATATACTGCGGGGCTTAATCAAATGATAACTATATAATTTGTGTTAATTGTAAGGTCTAATATAAGCTAATCATTTTAGATAATTAATGTTATTTAAAAAAATAAAACAAAGGATATATTAGTAAAGTGTGTTGATTATTCAATTTTACTTTAATTAGTTTAATATTCTAATTTACTTTTAATTAGTTTAATTATTTTAATATATATATATATACACACACACAAGGACCAAATCCGGTAGCCTTCTTCGGCACCCACCACCACTCCCGTGACCTCCTCCGTCATCTTGTCTGACCAAGACGTCGTCTCCGATGATCGACCACTAAACACTCACCTGTGAGCATTCTCGACACCTGGTATTACAGTGGTACACAGTTGGTATCACAGTGGTCTCAAAGTTTATTTGGTATATTTTGGGTATCGTATTGTATGTATTTTGGATAATACATTATGTATCTTAGTGTATTTTGGGTATCACATGGTGTTCGTCGGAGGCCGGAGGTAGGAGAGAGAGAGATAAAAAATTTAAAATACCTAAAATCCCCTTTAATTATAATTTTAAGTCAAATTATCAAAAATATTAGTTTCCTAACTTATTAATAGATTTTTGGTTAAGATTGGATCTCACAGTTATCATAAACTAATCAGTTCTCCCTTAAATAGAGCTCATACTATATATATATATATATATATATATATAGGTGGAGGTTCAAACGAGAACCCCTGTGATTTACGAAAACGCGAGAACAACTCAATAACCACAAACTTTTTTAATTAATAAATTAACTT